ATTCAACATATAAAACATCATAAAATATAATGACAATTAAATAATCACGTAATAAAATATTAGATATTTAAATATTTCAAATGGTGCAGAGGGCAGAAAAATCTTTTCATCAAAGGCTGTTTTAAGACAAACATGTTTAGGCTTTTGTTAATTTCTCTGCTTACCAGAAAAAGACATTGCAGGGCCATATTTTGGATTAAAAATAGAACTATGTGGAAAATGCTTTAAAATTACTTCCACCTCCCACTCTGTCAAACAGAAAGCAATTTGTAAGGTTGGCCAGAAAAAAAAATGAAGTGTGTACCATAATACAATCTTACCAAAATCCTTTACTGGGTACTTTTGAATGCAATGCAATTCACCAATCGTGATTAGCTTTTGATGTCTTTTTAATTCTGGTTTTATGAGTCAAGTCTCTCTGTGTCTCTCTTTCTCTCATACAGACATACACAAACACTTTGGAAGGTTCCTTTTTTCATGGTTTTATGAAAGAGTCAGTTTCTCACACAGACAGCCAACCTCCCTTCCTCCTTCCCTGAATTTTCAGCAATCATTTGCATCAACTCAGTATGTCCCTGTTTCTTCTCATTACAGTTAAAGAAGCTGATGAATCCACCCGTCCCTCTCTCGCACCTTCCTTCCTGCCTTAATTGGAGCCTTCTGTCCTGCTTGCATCAGTTCCTTTTTTCATAGTTTTGAGTCAGTCTCTCTCTCTCATACACACACATGCACACACCCTCCCTCCCTCCCTAAATTTTCTACAATCTTACATTTAAAAAATGTTTTACAGCAGTAAACAATAAAGCAGCTTTATCGCCAATCTCTAAAAGAACTGATTTACAAGTGTCGCAACCAAGGAAGGTAGCAGGGATAGGTAGCTTACAATCATGCAGTTTGAGGTTTGGCTGCAGGGGTGTAGCGCTCCACTTGCGTGCTCAGAGAGAGGTCTCTGCATGCCAGCTGTGGCACGTGTGCCATAGGTTCACCATCACTGCTTTAGGGAGTCAATCCATCTTATATTTGTTCTTCCTTTTTTCACTGGTCGTATCCTAGTGAAACTTACTATGCTAAGCAACAGGATTTCAGCCAGTTGTTTGGATTCAGAATTATGCTAGTTACACTTTAAGTTTTGTTAAACTTTTTATTTGTGGTTTTCTTTTAGGTGAGAAAAGATTTGAATGTCCAGAGTGTTCTAAAAGATTCATGCGAAGTGACCATCTCTCCAAGCATGTTAAAACACATCAGAACAAAAAGGGTGGGGGAACAGCTCTCGCAATTGTAACTACAGGTGAATTGGACTCTTCAGTTACTGAGGTTCTTGGATCACCAAGGATTGTCACAGTTGCAGCCATTTCTCAAGATTCAAATCCAGCAACTCCTAATGTTTCAACAAACATGGAGGAATTCTGAAGAAAAATTATACAAATGCCTAGAGCTGCACTTAAGTTTACATACCTTTCAAGATACAGAAGTGGGCTGGTAAAAGTGTATTACAGAGCAGGAAATCATGTATTCAGTCTTGGTTTCTGTAAGTATTCCAAGTTGGAGGATCAACATGGGAAGTGTACATTGTACAAGACATTTGCTTGTACAAAAAAATTTCAAAACAGAACCAACTAATGTAGATAAATTATGGATAAAGCAGATGAGGAAAATATTGCCTTGGCATTGTACTAATTTATGTAGCCCTATATCTAGTAAAGGATTTTATTGAAGTTCTTCTTCTCATGGAAATGTTTGTTCTAGCAACAAACAGTACAAATATGCAACAGGATAGCTGTTGACTAAGGATTTTTTCCCAAAAAATTTTCATCAGAAGTTCCTTTTTCAAAAGGCAGAACAAAAATGCAAAACAGCCTAGTGAAGAAGATTTTTTTTTCTTTTTGGTTTGTTAAACACGTATATTAAATTTGGCCATCTTTGCTTGTTTTTAAAAAATAATTCAGATGGCAGCATGTTAAATGGGTCTGAGATGCATCTCAGATAATTTTGGCCACTACATTATAGTAGTGTGTATAATGACAATCAGTAAACACAAATTATTCTCTTTCTAGGAGAGGCAAGAGATCTATAGAGCCAGTGTATACTGTAGCAATTATTGAATCTTAGAAATATATTGACATAAGATTTTAATTAATTCTATGTAAAAATTAACAATGGAACATATGTGACTAGCCCTATACCTTAACTCATCCCATTTCAAGACATAGGCGATTTATTGCTTAGTTAACCTCAGTCACAAAGTCTGTAATTTAAATTAAATTTTATTACAATACTTGGAAACTGCGGGAAGCAAAATCTTGTAGAGCTTAGGCACCACTGTCAACCTTCTGTCAACATCAAATATTGTTAATATACTGAATTCTTTAGACCTTCACATAACAGCCAAAGAAAGAAAAAATAACTGTAACCAAAAGTTTCTCAACTCTAAATTTTTCTTATCTTTATTTTCTTAAGAAAAATAATGGTCAGGATCCAAAGAGCTGCTTTTGGCTTGCCTGAAGTTTTCAGCTTTTTACTTGTTTAAAAAAACTCAAGCAGCCCTTCTGCCATATGAAAAAAATCTTCTGAACTTCCCCAGATAGCAAAAATAGCTAGCTATGCAGCACTGGAAATGTTTATTGGAGGAATGAAAACCAAAATTCCAGTGCAAAGGTTTCAATTCTGGCAGTGTGTATGTGTGTATGTGTATGAGAGTGAGTGACTCTGACTTGCATGTGTATATGTACATTCACACCTAGCCAGCAAGAAAAAAATTCATATTTAAATAGATAGCAAGGAATACTTTTATTGTTTCTTTTTGGCAAGCATTTTTGGTTCTTGAAAAACAACACAAGAAAAATGCAATTGCTTTACCTTGGTAGAAGATAAGTGATTATGTTCTCAATATGAAGTTGTTTAATACAGTACTCCTCAAAAAGTAACAGCTTAGATAATGTTGTTCATCCAGTTCTAGTCACCGACAACTAGATAGTTACTATGGCTGTCTCCTAGGCAGGGATGCATGTCCTTATTTCATGAAGAGAGACCGAATTCAGTCGAACAGTGGGGCCCAGATAAGCTTTGCAATTGCATGGATAGTAATGTGAATCCATATCAGCCACACTTTGGAGTTGTTTCTATGTTCAGTTTTACATTACTGGATTGAGAGACCGCTGTGTGCAAATTTTACTATATAGCAGAAAAATGACCAAATAATCTTTGGATTTTTTACAGTATTTTCTGTAGATATTAACTTAGCATTTTACAGATCTTCCCCAGTTGTAAAATATCTCATGACTGACTGATTTTTACATTTTACACCAAAACCTTTCAGTGATTTACTGTATCTTAAAAGTGCAGTGCAAGAAGTTGACACTTTTCCTTTAGAAACTATGGTTTCCATTGACAGTTGTTTGAAACTCTGAACAAAAATATTTTTATACCCTTATACAAATCCCAGTTTTGTGGCATTGCATGTATTTTTAAAAATAACTTTAGGGGCGTCTGTAAAGCAACATACAAAACTGGAAGTCTTTTATATCCTCAGCTTACATGAATAGGAAAGAAGAGAATTTTACACTGTGGTTATCAATTTCAAATTTCTTAAGCCTTTTTTAGACAATAAACTTTTAGTTGGGTTTTTGTATATTACTCCATATATTTTTATTTAAAATATTCTCATCTGATATATGACTTTAAAACATCAGAATTGAATTGGCAATGCCTTCAATACAGATGACCATTTGATAACACAAATAAATTTTTAAGGCAAATAAAATGCAAAATTGAAGATGTATTCTGTCATTCCGCTTCACAATCAGTGCTATAAAAACTCAGTTAAGCAAGTAAAATTTCCTAATAGAATCATGTGAAATGATTTTTTGTAACCTGAAGGCATATATACACTGCACACCTGTTAAATATTTTTTGCATACTTATGTATGCAGATGTGAAATGGTCATTATTTTTAACTTGCAGATAATCCCTATTATAAATGTATGAAAATCTAGTTGGTACCATGAAATCTAATGTAAACCAATCTTTTATAGCAGGTACACTTACTAGTATTGGACTTAAAGATATTTTGATAGTCTGTTCTGCATACCATTCTGAGTCCACTTTTCAGTCTTAGAAGGATCGTAAATTTCAGTGTCCTTTATTTGACTCAGTGGGATATAACTGTTGTACGTAATAGGGCACAGATATGCAGTAGTAGCTTGTTTAATGGCATATCACGATTCATTCCTTTTACCACCATTACAGAATTTTGCTTTATTGTACTTATCAGTGCAAAGTGTATTTATCATGATAGAACTCCAGTGTTGGAATAGCTTTATTTTATTTTCAGTATACTTTCTTGGGATAGGGTTGTGTATGTGTTTCCTGATTACATTAGAAATTGGTGTTACATCATTATTTATCACACTGTTTCATGAGAGAAGTAATAAATGTGTGTAATTTAGGAGAAAAAGTTTTTGTTAAACTTAGTTCAGCATGATATTTGGGTCCTATTTTTCAATTTTATAACTGTTTTATTGCAACAATGTTTGTATTTAAGTCTCCATTTCTAATGCCTTGTGATTTTTTTTAAATGCATGTCACTAAATTGTCATCCCACAAAAATTGATGTGCAGCATCGGGTGTTAAATCTACATACTGATTTTGAAACAGAGAAATAGTTGGTGGTGAAACTGTAAATGTTTGGAGAAAACCTTATAAAAAGTTTTGTAGTAATATTTCACTTGTAAATTTTTTGTAAGAAAAGGGAAAAAGAAAAAAAATGCAAAAAACCCACCCATTCTAGAATCTACAAATTAATTCTGCCAGCAAAGCCTCTAAGGCATTAATTTTTACTATGCTAATTTGTAAAAATTTTGTGTGTTTTTGTGGATTTGGAAATAAAACTGTGTAGACGTTGTTGCCTGCAATAACACTTTGCAAGTAACCTATTAAAATTCTCAAGTTTAAATGTACAATTATTTGAAAAGTGTATTTCTTTGTCAGTCACATTCATGTTTTCAAGCATATTACAGTGGTGCCTCGCTTAACAACGATAATCCATTCCAGGAAAATTGCCGTTAAGCGAAAACATCGTAAAATGAAAATAAAAACCCCATTGAAACCCCATTGAAACGCATTGAAACCCGTTCAATGCATTCCAATGGGGTAAAAACTCACCGTCCAGCAAAGATCCTCCATATAGCGGCCATTTTCGCTGCCTGTATAGCGAGGAATCCGTGCCTAAACACAGTGGGGAGCCATTTTAGTTACCTGGTGGCCATTTTGAAACCGCCAATCAGCTGTTTAAAAATCATAGTTTTGCGAAGAATTGGTTCCCGAAGCAGGGAACCGATCATCGCAAAGCGAAATTCCCCCATTCAGACCATCATTTTGCAATCGCAATTGTGCTTGCAAAAAGATTGTCGTTAAGCGGTTTCGTCGTAATGCGGGGCAATTGTAAAGCGAGGCACCACTGTATTAATATTAAATATTATCGTACAGTAGATTTAAAAGAGAACAAAATAGAGAGGAATGCTAGAGATGGGAGAATCAATATTATATACATGTTTTCCCACAAATCTGAGACATCAGAGCTGCTACTATGTGAATCATTGGGTCCTCTTTCAAAGCACATTGCAGCACCTAGATAGCAATCCCTGATAGAGTGGGATTTCACTTACCATTGTTGCCATTGCTGAGGTAACTTGCACTTTTAACTTCTGGTGCAGACTGAAGAGGTCCTGAATGTATTTTAAAGAAGAAAGTGTTCACAACCATCTCTATACCTCAGATATTGCAACTGCCATCAAGTTTCTGAACCTTGGTCTTAGCACCCATCAAAGGAAATAACTGGAGGCTACTGATGGTGGCTGCAGTAACTAGTATCTTATAGGCTATAGTTCTAATGCTGATGCTTTTGTTTCTGGTGACAAATGGAAGAGATGTAGGAGCAAAGTTGTCTGCATCCACATAGCTGTGGCGTGAATTTGATAAATAAATGCCTTAAGACCAAATGTTCCATATTGCCAGCATCAGAGATCTTACAATGTAGACAAAGGAATGTGAAATGAAGTGATTATTTCCGTGAATGTAGAACATAATGGATTAAGTGCTGCCTGACAACTGGAGAAAACAAATCTGCTGGACTCAGGATCATCAACTCAGTTTTGCTTCCCCAAGAAACTAATGAAAATACAAGTCTCCAAAACAGTAAGAAGACTCAAGCAAGGAGTTTAAACTGGCTTAAGTAAATTTTCAACTTTCTTTGAACAGCAGACACTTCACCTCTGTTCAATATCACAAACCACTTTTGGAACTCCATTCTCTTTCACAAGTAACAATGGCAAACTACTCGTAAGGCTTCCTAAATCCAAGTAATTAAGACATAAGGTTGGTGGTCAGATTTTCAGCTGGCAGTATGCCAACAGAAAATACTGTATATGCATCGGGTTCTACCTCTGTAAGACTTTTTTTTATTAACAGAATTTGAATATTTAAAAAACACTTTGTAGCATTCAGCCCTGCCCTCACCTGTCCGTCACAGCTGGGCAGTGGAACATCAGCCAATGGGGACAGAAGTTGGTGCAGAAGGGGGAGGACCTGGAATATATAAAGGGGGTATGATGTAAAGATTAGGGAGAGATTTTGTGAGAGTTAGTGATGAGTGTGTCTGTGGGCCTGTGAGCCAAATAGTCAGTGAGGGAAGAGTCTGTGTGTGTCAGTGAGTGAGAGACCTTGATTAACATCTTGTGATTTACTTACTTGATTTTGTTAAGCCAATAAACAAGTTTTTTGTTTTGAAACAACATTGGTTTTTTTTTAATATTGGATAAAATTTGGTGGCAGCAACTGAAGAAGAAGAGTGAGCACTCCTGGAGGCCTGAGTTAATAGAGGCTTCAGCGTGCTCGCTACACACCAGCACTGGACAAAACAAAAGCTTGTTCAGTTCTTCAAACCAAAAGCTATAGTATCAATTTTCTTGCTAGCATTTAAACATAATCTAACTGCAATGAAAAAAGAATGTAATTGAACAGCTTTTGAATGTGTTTCCTAGTTTTTCATTGTGGTTGTATTAGCTGAAATGCAGGCTCTGTCCTTAGCTCTTTCTAAACTGAAAAGTTGTCATTGGTGTAGAAACCTGACAATGGAGGCCATGAAACCAGTCACTAATTGCAAAGTAGGGAGGATGATAAATCTTAAATGCAATTGAATAAATTATATTTGAGTTTCAGTGAAAAAGAACTTCTAACTTCTGTTTTAAAGTGTTACAAATTTTTTTCACTACAAAGAAGGTAAAGTGAAAGCACTTCATTTACAAATGTTACAGAAATGGAAATACTACACTTATTTTTTAATTTTTTTGTTGTGCCATGTATAAAGAGACACCAAGGGGGAAAAACTCTAGAACCTGACTCCTTTTATGATCAGTTAACCTCACCCAAACACAAAGTGACTGACAGGACTATTTTTTTCAACAAGTTATCTAGGTATCTGCTTGGAGCTACGAAGTAATCTAATTGCCTAGGAGAAACAGTAGTGACCACAAGAGTGTATCCCACAGACCCTAGGGTTCTTAACCTGTAGTCTGTGGAGCACTGGGGATAGGGCACAATGTCCGCAAAGGCTTGAAGAAATGTTATGATCTTTTGCAGTTAAAACTGGATGTACGAAAGCAAGAAAGAAACAGAAACAGAACAAAAAATCCTAATTTCCCTTGTTTGTTGACAACTTGGCTTTTCTAATCTAACACCTCTATTCCAAAAAAAAGTAAAAATTGGTGTGATGATTGCCCCACTTCACTCCTGTCAATCATATTCAGGATCTCATTTGCATGAGCCTATGAAAGGAGTGGAGGGGCAGAGTCACCAGATATAAGAAGGTTTGGCAGGAGAGAGGAGAGAGAGATATAGAAGTTGCAGAGAGAGAGATAGTGAGGGATATAGTGAGAACAGATACAAAGAGATAAACTGGTCGAGATTAATAGATAGAGCAGGTGGTGATTAGTTATGTGGCAAGATGTGTGACATTTTAATGATCTGATTGTATGCCTTGAATAAAGAACATCTGTGATTCTGATTAAATTTAATACACTTTAGTAAATAAATTCTGTTGGCGGTAACTAGACAAGTGTATGACTAAAGTTCTTTATATATTGTGGATGAATGAAATCCACTGGTGGCAGTGAGGAAAAGAGAGGACATCATAATTGGTATCTGCTGGTGGGATGACATAGCATGAGCGCTTTGTTTGGGGAAACAAGCAGGGGCCACGTAGTAAACGTCACAAGTGGTTATGAAAATAACCGTTTGATAGCAAATAACTAATATTTTTGCACATGGTGAGAACATGCCAAGTCAATGACGCTGACTGGATGAGAAACAGCACATGACATTTCTTGCTGTTGTGCAGACAGAAGCCATAGAAAGAGATTGTCAAAGTCAGTGTCAGTGTGTGTGATCGGGTTCGTTTGAAGTCTGGAGCAGTTCCTCACTTTTGGCGGGAAATAAAGACAGAGGTTTTATTTGAACATTAATACAGTGGTGCCCCGCATAGCGACGTTAATCCATTCCGGATTAATCGTCGCTATGAGGAAACATCACTAAACAGAACGGAAAAAGCCATAGGAACATGGGCCCTATGGGGCCCAAACTCACAGTTGAGCGAAGTTCCTCCATAGCGCCACCATTTTTGCGCCCTCGGTAAGCGAGGGCAGGGCGCAAAACTGGTTGCGGCGGCCATTTTGGGCACTCGGCGGCCATTTTGGAACCGCCGATCAGCTGTTCAAAAAACATCGCAATGCGAAGATCGGTAAGCAAAACGCTTACTGATCATCAGTAATGCGATGTTTTACCCATTAAAACATCACAATGTAATTGCATTAGCGAGCTAAAAAAATAGATCGCTATGCGGATTCGTCGTGAACGGTGCGCTCGTTATGCGAGGCACCACTGTAACTTTATTTATACTAACATTTGGTGATTCCGCTGTCACCTTAATTGGATCAAAACAACTTAAATTAGGTAATTGTTCATAATGTGATGACGTGAACCCAGGATGAGTATGTGGGAAACTCACGGGGGGGGCTGAACCAAACCGTTCCCGGTCCATAGGATTTCTCAATGGGGCACTCCACTGCACATATGGTCCCACACCATGGGTGCCGAGCCCAGTCCCCTTCCTTCGGCGGTCAGTTGAAGGTCTGGTCTGATTACTTTCTTCCCGTTTCCTTGTCCTTGTGGATAAACTACTACTGTCCATTCTAGTACTTCAGTAGTGGACCCTCTTTCTTTCTCTAATTCTGGGTTGGGTAACAATCCACCTACTTTCAAGTTTGGAAAGTCCTTTAACAGTCCACAGGTTTTCTCATATGTAGCCTCATCCTCATTCCTCTCTTTCATCTCCTCCTTCCCTCTTGTTATCTTTCCTCTCGACATACTGAAAACCCTCTTTTCCCCTTGATCTTTTATATCTTCTTCCCACACTGATACATTTAACTTATCCTTTTTTCTTTTGTCTCCCTCCTCCACTAGACAGACTTCCACATTTCCTTCTCTTTCTTTCAATTCTATTCCACTCCCTTTTCCTATCATCACTTCTTCCTGTTCAGTTATTTCACCCTCTCTTATGGCTAGAGACATATATCACCCTAATACCGAAAGAAGATATGGACTCTATGCATATAAAATTTTTAAACCAATATCATTATTGAATGTGGACTATAAAATCTGCAGTAATTATAGTGGAAGGATTGAAAAAAAAATAATGGAATTCATCCATTCAGACCAAAATGGATTTTTGCCAAAAAGACAACTAAGGTACAACCTAAGGATAATCTTAGACATATTCGAATATTATGAGGTGCATACAGAGAAACAAATGGCATTAATCTTTCTGGATGCCCAAAAAGCATTTGATAATATGAATTGGCAATTTATCATACAGCAAATCAAAGCTATGGACTTTGGAAAAAACTTCATAAATGTAATTGAGAAAATCTATAATGAACAAATAACTAAAGTAATTGTAAATGGTGAATTGACAGATAATATTAATATTAAAAAAGGCACCAGACAGGGATGTCCACTCTCTCCATTGCTATTCATATTGACTTTGGAAGTATTAAATAGGAATGTGAGGAATGATCCAGAAATCAAGTCACCAAAATAAAGGATGAGAGTTACAAGCATTTGCAGATGACTTGGTGTTTATTTTGGAAGATCTGTTGGAAACAACATTAATACTACTGGAGAAAATTGATGAACTCAGAGAAGTAGCAGGATTGAAGATAAACAAAGAAAAAAAGTTATAGTGAAAAATTTAACAGACAAAGAAAAAAATCAACTCTCAGAGATGTCAGATCTACAAATAGTTAAAAAAGTTAAATACCTCAGAATATATCTAACTTCCAGATTCTAACTATAAAATTAGATAATTATATAAAACTACTTAACCAAATAAAAATGGACCTAGAAAAATGGAAAAATCTAAAACTTCCACTACTAGGAAGAATTGCAACAATCAAAATGAGCATCTTGCCAAAACTACTATTTCTGTTTCAAACAGTGCCAGTGAAAATAGAGAAGAAATACTTTGATGATCTAAACAAGGCGATATTAAAATTTATTTGGCAAGGGATGAAAGCCAGAATCAAATTGAAAATGCTTCAAGAATCCAAGGAAAAAGTTAACAATCATCTGTCCTAATGTGGCTGAAAGAATGGATTTGTCTGAAAAACAAAAGACTTTTGTATTTAGAGGGGCATGATTTACAGTTAGGTTGGCATGCCTTTTTATGGTATCAGAAAGCTAAAACCCACAGATATTTCCAAAACCACTATATTAGAAACTCCTTGTATATAATATGGGAAAAAATAAAAATGAAAAAGTACACAAAAATACCAGGATGGGTTTCACCTATCGATGTATTTGTCCATCCCAATCTTCTGAACTTTAAAATTTTTTTGACTTATATAGATATCTTGGATAGAGACAGGAAATTAAAACCGAAACAAGACCTTATAGACCAGGGACTAGATGCATCGTGGTGGCCCATAATGCAAATGCAATCTAGATATGAAAGGGATTCAAAAATGTATGATTTTTATAAAGAACAGACAACATTTGGCCAAATAATGTTAACATCAGATGATAAATTAATTAGGAAAATATATAAATTTCTTTTACATTGGAAAATGGAGGATGAACAGGTCAAAGAAACAATGGTTAAATGGGCAAAAAAATTGGGTATAATATTGATTTTGAAAAATGGCAAAAACTGTGGTCTAGAAACTATAAAATGACAATGGCAACACCTTATAAAGAGAATTTATATAAAATATTTTATAGATGGCATTTACCATCCAATAGATTAGCTAAAATGTATTCTAAAAGGTCAAGTAAATGCTGGAAATGTCATTAAAAACTGGAACTTATATCATCTTTGGTGGACATGTGATAAAGCAAAAAAAATTTTTGGAAAAAAATACATACTGTGTATGGCTTGTTAAAATTTTAAAAATGTAGATTTTAAGCCAGAACTCTATTAGGTATAATACCAGAAAGTGTTGATAAACAAAATGTATATTTAATACTGCATATTTTAACAGCTGCAAGGATTATATTTATGCAATACTGGAAAAATGAAGAAACACAGATCAAGAAATTATTTAAAAGATATTGGACTGCGCTGAAATGGATAGACTGACACTAAAAATCAAAGGAAAGGAAGATACAGAATATTATTAAACATGGAACTTGTTTTATCAATGGTTAGAAGCATGTTGTATAGATTAAGAGCTTGATACAGTATATATTGTAGTTGTATTAACAAATAATTAAAAGCTGAACCCAGGTGACACGATGTTAAATAAGCACAGATGGATTTTATAAATAATAATAAAAAGAAAAGAAAAAATAAAAACTGACTGGTATTATATAACAGATATAAGTTTTAACTGAACACCTAAGTATCTGCTGTTCCTAATATTGGTGTTTTTTGTAGCTCTGATGTTTTTGTTTCTGAGATCTGCAACTGCTTATAATACTCTGAAACTTCTTGATATTGTTCCCAGAGCCCCAATGACATGGGGACCACTGAAGTATGTTTCATCCACAAGTAAGATATTTTGATTGTCAGATCTATGTATTCTGTCAGTTTTTCCAGTTCTTTATTTTCAACTCTGGCATCCCCTGGAATTGCAAAGTCAATGATCCCAGACTCTTTGTTCTGTTACTATGTCTGGTGTGTAATGTTCAAGGCATCTTTCAATTTCGACCTGGAAATCCCAAAAGATATTGACTTCATCATTTTCTGACACCTTTTCTACCTGATGTTCTGTGAAGGAGCAGAGTGTATAAGTGAGCTGTCTGTAGTGATAGAGGCCATAGAAGGAGGAGAAGAACGGTGTGGATCAAAGGAATGAAGGGGTGACAGTTGCGACAAAGGTGGGAGAAGTTGAATCTAAGGAAAAGGCGGGAAAGACAGAGGTTTGTCTAGCAGAGGAGGCGAAAGGGACAAAGTGGCCAGAGCAAGAAGTGACAGTTTGGGAGGAAGATATAAAAGAGGAAGGGACATGCTGGTTCAGGTCAGTAGTCACAGATTATGAGAGAAAGCACGATGGAAGGAGGTTGACAGGATAAGGACCCAAGGACTGATAAGAGACTTCCCAGACCTAAAAGTGGGAGGACTGCTGCCGGAGCCTACTCCAGGAGAGATGAGAGCGATGCGATATCTAACAAAAGAATGGACAGTGATCATAGTGCCATGTGAGGTGGAGCTGCAGAGGGAAGCTGAGATAACTCACAACCAGTTTTATGACAAGCCAGATGAAAGAGGGTGGATCAGGCACGCATGTTATGGGATGATCTGTGCCCTGAGAAGTTCTCCTACCTTTAAGACTGGACTTCAAGGAATGGCGTGGGGGGCATCCCCATTGAGTCCATGGGAGTATGGCAAAAGCTTTAGCTCTGTTAGTTGTGGCCTGTTGCCGGAGTTAAGAGTTTTCGACCCAATGAGTAACATGCTGGAGGAGATAAGTATAAATAAAGAAAAAAGTTTAAAATTATAAAAAGTCTCCTTTGTTATTTCCCGCCGAAGATGAGGGGTTGTCCAAAGAAGGAGAAGACCCCAATCACATGTTCCCATGGTTTTGGATGCTGGCAAGTTATATTTTTGGCATAATGACAAGTACTCTAATTTTGCCACTTGATCATATTTAATTTTGTGGTCTGTGCAGTCTTTGGACATTCACAGATGGGGTGTGACACTGTTTCATCTTTTTCCTGGCAGAGTCAATATTTGCTGTTAGCATTAATTCATTGAATCTTAGCTTTCATCACATTCGTTCGGAGTGGTTATTCTTGTGCAGCAAAATTTAAGCCTTCGGTTTCTTTCTTAAGGGTCCCCAGTTTTAGCTATGCTGGTGTTGAATTATTGTCATGCTTTCCATCGATATTACTCAGGGTGTTGTCCATGTAGTGGTTTATTTTTCCAGCTGATGATGATTAAAATTTGCACGGAATCATTCCAGTACAGTGGACCCTCAACTTACGGAATTAATCATTTGCAAGCTTCTCGTTACTTTTCGGGAGAAAGTACTGAAGCAAACGAGTCACGTTGCACGTGTGAAGGGCTCCCCGCTGCTTGTGCGGGGCTGCTTGTGCAGGGAGGGGGGACGGTGTGAGAGGCCTGGAGGCAGCACTCCTGAGACGGTGCCCTCCTTCATAGTTTTCTGCCCACCCTCAGCTAGTCCCACTGAACTCAGAGACTCGTTACCTCGACGGTGAGTTGTTGTTGTTGTTTTATTTTTACCCGCATGCTGGCCAGCCTGCAGGGCCTGGGACTCCTCCGTCTCCTCCACCCGCAGGAGCGTGTGGGACTCGCCTCCGAAGGCGTGGGCCGAAGGGGCGAATGGCGTGATTTGTTTTCCTCGAGAGGCGGCGGCGGGAGGCTTTAGCGCGTCCCCTGGGCAACGGGACGCTGCTGCCGCCGCCGCGCTTTCGTGGGTGGCACCTGACGGGAGTCGCCGGCCACCGAAGTTGTCGCCTTGGGTAAGCAACTTGGGGGCCGCCGGCGAGGCTGGGGGTCCCCGGGCGGGGAGGCGAGGCGGTCGGTCGGGTGCGCGGGCGGGCTCGAGGCAAAGAGTCACGGAGGGGCGCCCAGAAGGGGACGTCAATTCTTTCTCTCGTCGTTAAAGGGGGGACCCCTCGGGCCGAGAGGAGAGGCTGCGGAGACAACCCGGGTCCCTGAGGAGCCCCGCGGCGGGGCCCTCGGCCGCTTCGCCTTGCGCCCCGCAGACGCAACTCTGGGAGGCTGGGAGATGGACGACGAGGACGACGACGAGACGGTGGAGGAGAAAAGTTTCGCCCAGGATGAGCGGGTCCAGTTTGTGGGTCGCCGCTTGGCGCCCTTGCTGAGGCTGAAAGCAGACCAGTGGGAGGCGTTCGTGGAAGACGAAGGCGCCCAGAAGCTCCTGGCGGACTTTCTGGAGGCCAGCCAGCCCTCTTTCCTGGCTTTCTTCCTCCCTCCGGCCGGAGGATTGGTAGCTGAGGTGAAGGTAAACAGCTGGGGCGAACGGGGTGTGCCTGTTATATTTCAGTTACAGTAAATCACTTTCTGTAAGCATGCAATCTCCTACTGTACCTAGTTTGTTTTTTTCAGTCTCTGGGTTTATCAAAAGTATCAAGTGCACATCCATCCATCCATCCATGTACAGAGGCAGAGAACTAATCCTGGTAGTGGCGGTGACTGGACTTGCAACATTGTAGACCTCTTTGGGGCAGATTGTTCCAAAACTCAGAGCTGGGGGAAGTTACTTTTTGTGGACCGCAGCCATATTCAAGAAAGAGTAACTTTTATAAGCTCTGCCAAAAAAATTACTCCATGGGTAAGAAACTGTGACAAATTTCATCTTCCCATAGGCTGGAAACATACCTGATGTTCACCTGTGATATCTGCTCATACGTACATGACAGCCGCTTATTTTTTTTCATGTGGTCCTGCTGGTATACAGAGCTGCTTGAAGAGACTTCGTTGTGAATTGCAGGATGTGGTTTCCCTGCAGTTTTCATAACTCTGATGGCTGTGTTGTACCCATCTGCCTTAGGAACAAAAACCTGTGGTTGCTTCCAATGGGCTGTATCCATTTGCTGTCTGTTTATTCATGCACATGATGGATTAAATCAGTGGTTCTTAACCTTGGGTTAGTCAGGTGTTTTTGAACTGCAACTCCCAGAAACCCCAGCCAGCACAGCTGGTGGTGAAGGTTTCTGGGAGTTGCAGTCCAAAAACATCTGAGTAACAAAGGTTAAGAACCACTGGATTAAATGAAGAAAGTCAGGGCCTGGTTCTTTTGTTAAGTCTGTCCCTGTAAAAAGATTTCATTTCCTTATTGCAGCATGAACACAAAGCATGAGTTTGCTTTAGCACCAATTTCTATAGTTTGGATATTTAAAAAACTTAAGGTTAATTTCTTGGTGCTCAATTCCCCTCTCCCACGTCTTAGTTGAGATACATCCCATGTATACCTTGACTGTCTCAAATGGTGAAACACTTTCCCCATGAGATGTGTGAAAAGCTCAGCACCACATGTCTTTGGAAAGCATTACAAGGTTTTGGTTAAACAAATTCAGTTTGGCATATATGCTTATCTTGGTTTTGGATTACCATTTGATTGTGTTGTCTTGTCATACACCCCAAAGCCTGAGCACTGTTGTAGGCCACAACACCAAACAATTGTGGAAAAGTATGGCTGATATTTCTGTATCACAAATGGAAGGTAAGTGCATCTCCTATGTGCCACGTGTTTAATGTTTACTTACTTAAAGCATATTTGCTGTGCTTGTAAAAATGCAAATATGTTTTATGCTAATATTAAAATTATTTTGCTCTCAAACTAAATTTCAGAAAAATTTATAGTGCTGGCACTGGAGTGCAGTTGACTGCTGTCAAAAGCTTGTGTACTCAAGAAGTTGTAGTTTATTGCAAGCTGTTCACTTGATGGTATTGTGCTAAATCATCTTGGCTTTGTGTTTACATTTAGCTAGATTTCTAACTTAGATTGTAATATGTTGACACCAGTTGATAAGGAAAAGTGTATCCTGTTTTTCTTGTACTTCTATCCTTGTGATGATAAAGTTTATGGTCAGACATTCTTCCTGGTCAGGTTAAAGTGAAGTGGCACGGAGAATTAGTATCCACGCAGCATCCTTTTCCTTGGTCTCCTTGCTTCAGTTTTAGCTCTAGCCTTATGAATAATGTATTCATTTTATAAATACAGATCATGAAGGTCTTCCCTGCCATGTCATGGTAGAGGCTGAGTTATATTTTATCAGTCTGTGTGATCATTGCAGCAACATTCTTTGGCTGTAAGAAGGGCATGTCTAGATTAGTGTCAGTCCTACAGTAATACATTAGAAGTAGAACTGAAATATTGGCCCAAACTCTCTTACGTAGTTATACTGATAAAGCACAAAATGACATAATTTTGGACATAAATTGCCCCAAGTTAAGAAATCACCATAGACATTATTTGCCTCTGAAAGTTACACTATTTGCGTTGCTACTCTAGGATTTGAGCCATTAAATTTTGTGGGTTTCACTTTATAATAACATATCACAAAGTAGTTTAACAAGAATAACTTAATAGAGCAACTCCATCACTAAAATGATTTAGAACTGGTTTGATATCATTTTTCCTGAATATCATGTCAGTATTTATCAAACATAAATCAGTCCTGATGAAATAATCTTTGATTCAGATTAAAAACGAGGAGATATTTGAATTTTAAACTTAGTAATGTAATAATTTAATAACACTGAGTCCTTTGGTGGTGGAAACTGGCTCTGTATTGCTAGAAAGTGCAGGGAAAAATAAGCTTAAGTCTGTCAGCGAATCCTGTCCAAGATACAAATGGTGAGTAATAAAATCTAAAACTTAATGGCTGAGATCCTGTTGCCCAGTGACTCAAATGGTGTCATGTTTGAAAATGAATTGACATAAATTAAAAAATCTTTGTATACATTATCCGTTTCATAATGAGCCATAGAAGTGATCATAGAACAGATAATGCCTACAGAGGTTTTGTGTATAAAAGTGAGACAGTCTGCATAGCTGTGTAATAGCATTTCAGCCGGTATTTAATTCAAAACGCCCTTTATTATGGAAGCTCCTGTCTGGAGCGCTTATAAGCAGGAGGATCTACAACCATGAATGCACTTACTAAGTCCTCCTCATTCTGTGTATGTTTGTTTCACACTTCTACTTGTATGTTTTCTTAGAAAACGGGCTCCGTGAATAGTGCTGTCTAAGGGATACTGTATTTGGTCTTAGGAAATAGTACAGTACCTCTTAGAGCTGTTTCCATGGTAGGAAACATAGTTTCCACAGTAGATTGTTTGACAAACAAAAGAATTTACAATTGCACAGGTTGTGTCCTTGGAAGTTACTGGAGCAAACCTATGTGGTTGGCAGTTTTTGATCCATTTATGTCCTTGGAAGTTACTGGAGCAAACCTATATGGTTGGCAGTTTTGATCCATTTTTATATATATATTTAAAATATTTTGGCCAATTTACAGTCACAGCTTTTTCAGACATTACTTTCATGTTTCTTGTTTAGATACCTGGAAGTGTGAAACACAAAACAGTTTGCATTATGAAGACCACAGACCATATTCGGATTGAAAACTGCAAGGAAAATCTCAAATTTGCTGAATTATCTGGAACACCCATGGAACATGTAATGGTCTTCTTAGAAGAGGTGCTTTTGTTTTATATATTTCTTTATTAAGTTTTGGAATTTAAAATGTGTTTTACATCAGTAAATAGTTTTTAATAAAACTTATTTTCAAGAAATAGCAAAATTAAAATGCTAATGTATTATTAATTTTTCTAATGACCCTCCCCCTTCACCCCAAGAACCCTCCTGATTCAGAATGAATAGTTTGACAGGGAGGTTAGTTACATAGGTCTGTGAAATTGTCATGAGATTCCAAAGCTAGCAACGGGACCAAGGTACAAGGGATCCTGGGTGATATGTACAGTATTCTTATATAAATATATGTAAATATATGTTATTTGTCAGTTGGACCCCTTTCCCTAGATGGTTTAGCTTCCACTTAATAGCATGTAAGAAATAACAGCATCAAGAAATTAATCTCTTTCTGCCAGTCTATAATCCAATGTGTGCAAAAGTACTAAATGAAAATGACATCATTTCACAGGGAATTATGCTTTCATTTGGATGGGGGGGGGCAGAGAGTGGGGCAAGAAGGCAAGAAGCCTGCTTCTCCCAGCCTGTTTCTAGTCTCCTAAATCTGAATCTGACCTGGAGTCTGAATCAGACATTACAATCCAGAAGACACTACATTTTTCAGAAGTACAATTTACAAGGCTTGGTAGGTAAAGAGAGGATCACTATGAAGAGTGTTTCGAAACTATCTCTGAAGAGTATTTAGAAACCTTAGCTGGTCCAAAATCTTTGATATACAAATTATTGGTATACAGAGTGTACACACACACACACACACACACACATACATATTTTACCACAGTCCTTAGAACAATTAAACAAAAACAATTACAATTTTAACCTTTCCAGCATAAAAACATAACAGAATTACCACTTAGTTTAAAATCCATTTAAAATCTTACAATTTAAGCCATTTAAAGTCTACACATCTAAAATTTATCTACACTTTGATTTCTGGAATCTAAGTATTACCATGCAGAAACTTGCAATGTGATAGGTAATCTTAGGGTCTTTATCTGAGAGAAGAAAGTGGAGTATACTTTCTTCTGTACAACCTGGGATTTTTTCAATCAGTGGAAAAATAATCAGGTTACATGCAATCTCATAGTGGGGACAGGTAAAAAAAACATGTGTTGCATAGTTTCTACCACCCCTAGTGAACAGGAGCAAAGCCTTTCTGCATGAGGCACATTCCTAGATTTCCCTTTGAGGACGACAGGCAGAAGGGCAGAGCATCTTGCTAGTGTAAAAGCTCTTCTAAATCCTCTCACTTCTAAGAGTGATAGATAGTCTGCTGGTTCCATGGGGTTCTTAATGTAGGCCCTTAGCAGTAGATTCTGTACGTTAGCAAAATCAGTGTTGTGTTCTATATCCTTAATTCTTTGTCTAAGCAAAATCAGCTTGGTGTTCTATATCCTCAATTCTTTGCCTCGTTTATTTGGTATGACAGCAGCACTTGTGGAGATAGACCAATTTTTCATCAAATGGCTCTGGACAGCCTTTACCCGCTTGGATTGCAAATTATTATAGTAATCCAAGGGCAGAAGGCCTTGGGAGTTTTTATGTCCCTTTAGTCATGTATATAAAGACAGGATACAAACCCAGGGCTCAACTCTGTAGCCAATCGTATGCTTGCATTTGAGACACATCTGGGAACCTGAAGGATGATTGTTAAAAATTTAGATTGTATCCTTTCTTGGGGTACAAAATGTGAACTAGGTGGCCCCAAAAATGAATCATAGCAGTTGTGCAAGCAGCTTAGCCTTATAGAGTTTAAGAGCTGCAGGAACAAAGAATCCACCCTGAGAGCAGTGAAATGTTGATATACTAATTGTGGTCCTTTCTCCTTGATAAGCCCTATGCTTACTATGTTGATCCCTTGAGTCTGTGGCTTGTAGAATTAACCCAAAGTATTTGAAGTTACTAACTTGCTCAATATGGTGACCCTTAATTGACCAAACCCTTGTCTTCGGTTTGCACCCAAAGGCAACTATCTTGGTTTTCTGATAGTTTATTGTTAGAAACTCAGTTTCACAGTATAAGGAGAGTTTCTGCAAAGCCTTCCTTAGATCAACAGGTGTTCTAGAGAGGATCACTGTGTTATCTGCGTACAGTAATGTTGATATAAATCTATTAGCAAGTCTGGGAGGGTGGCGGTCGGGGTTATTGAGCCAGCCTAGTAAGTTATTTATATAAAAAATAAATAAATCTGGGGCTAGTAAACAGCCTTGCCTGACTTCTCTATAAGTTTGGATGGGTTCTGTAAAATGTCCTTGTCTACTACATCTAACTCTTAATTATGTTTCTTTCAATAAGGGCCTTATAAGACACAGAAGTCTTCTATCTGTACAGGACGTCATCAGTTTAGCCCAGAGTCGCATTTTAGATATGGAGTCAAATGCCGATTTAAAATTAATGAGTGCTGCATAAAGGGAGGTTGTGCCCTTAGAGGAATATTTCTCAATGAGATGTTGAATAACTAGGTGTTGATCTATTGTAGATCTCCCTGGCCTAAAACCTGCTTGTTCTGCTACTATGACATTTTCTTGTTCAAGCCAAACCAAAAATTTATCCAGAAGGTGCCTTGCATAGAGTTTGTTTATGATGTTTAGCAAACTAATTGGCCTGTAGTTGGACAGGTCCTCCATGTTGCCCTTCTTATACAATAGGTCTACAATGGCTGTTTTCCGGGATTTGGGTATATAGCCTGTAGTATCAATGTGCATAAAAAGTGGGGCCGGAAAAGCAGCCCACCACTCCTTATTTTCTTATAAGAATTCTAGTGGAATGCCATCTGGCCCAGGGGCTTTGGTATGTATAGACTTTTTTACAATAGCACCACTGAGTGTTGCTCCATTTCTCAGTACAATTCAAATTATGATTAAGACCTATCAAGACTACAAAGCTGAGGTTTAACCAGGTATTTGAAGGATTGCATCTCTCCATACGAACCTCCTCTGGTTGTAAAATCCTCAGAAGAGGCCATTTTATCATTCCCACCACCGTCAGATTAACGTTGGGTTTTAGAAGAAGACTCTCCAATGGTTGCTCACAGGCTATGGAGCTCCCTTCTATGGGAGGCTAAGTTGCCTCCATCCCATCCTTATGCCAGAAAGCAAAGACATTTCTTTTCAGCAAGCTTCTGGCCACTGATTGGTCTGTGAAGAAAGTTTGTAAGTAGTGATATTTTTAAAACTTTTTTTTCCTATAGAGTTTCTATTGCATGTTTGTATGCCTTTTTTGTTTTTATATTGTTTATGTTTAATGGTCTTTTAATATTATATGTTTCATAACATTTTTAACATATGTATCTACTGACATGCCCATCCACTCACCATTTGTAAGATGCCTTAGGTTCCAAATAGGGGAAGAGGGAGGATGGAAATGAAATGAAGTGATTAAATGTGCTTTTGTGCTAGTTCTGACCTTTCTGATCTAGTCCAGTACATTTGGACTTCAAAAGCACCTAGTCTCCCATCAGGTTGCCCAGCTAATTCCTTCTGACTCTTTTCTTGAGATATCTCTACCATAAGAAATAAATTAGGTGCAATTTTTGACCTGTAGCATATAGTTTGGTTGTTGCTGTATATGCCTCTGGAGGGTGCCTTCTTTATGCCTTCTTTCTCATCCCGAAACTAACCTTAGAGTCCGCTTCCTCTTGTAAGAACTAATGAGATTGTTTTAGCATTTCTTCTAAAAATACATTTGTATTTAACTAATGTTATCACTAAGGGAGATATATAGCAACAAACAAGCTTCTGGAACATAGTGGTTACAAATCGTGTTCATAGTGCTACTGTGGCTATTTACTTGCCTAATGTATTGCACAGAGATGAACTGAACATTTCACAACAGCAGAAGTGCCTGGTCAAATATTTAATTTAAAGTTGCTACATTGGTAAACATGCTTCTGACTAATCTG